CGCTGTTGGATGAGCTGCCATCGAGATAGGCGTGAGGTTGCTAGGTCCATCAGAGATGGCTCAGGTATGGTAGTGAGTGGACCTCCAATGAGGAAATGACCTGGTGTGAGCGCTGAGACGTCTTCAGGGTCGTCACTCAACGGTTCTAAAGGCCGCGAGTTGAGAATGGCCTCGATCTGCGTAAGCAACGTTGTAAGTTCTTCCGTTGTGAGTAGAGTCTCACCGATAGTCCGTCTCAGATGAAACTTGACGGATTTCACCACCGCCTCCCACTTGCCCCCCATGTGTGGAGCGCCTGGTGGGTTGAACTCCCATCTGGTGCAATCCTGTTGTAGAATTTGAGCGATCCGTTGATGTTCTTGTGAGCTCTGGATGAACATTTTCTTGAGCGCGGCGTCTGCTCCAATGAATGTTGTCCCGCAGTCCGAATATATGGTCTGAGCAATTCCCCTTCTCGCGGAAAATCTTCGGAAGGCTGCGATAAATCCTTCTGATGAGTAGTCACTGACTACTTCGAGGTGAATTGCGGAGGTGGAGAAACAGACAAACACACAGATCCATCCCTTGTATGTTTTCGCACCTCGTCCTTTCCATGTTTTGATGGTGAGCGGTCCGGCATAGTCAACTCCTGTGTGAGTAAACGGACGTGACGGCGTAACCCGAGAGAGAGGTAGTTGGCCCATCAGTTGATGAGCACGGATCCCCCTCTGCCGAGCACACACGACACACCGCAGAATATGCGACTTCACCGGAGCCCGTCCGCCGATGATCCAGTAGCTTTGCCTGACATGAGCCAATGTCAGCTGAGTTCCTCCATGCAGAGTACGCAGATGAGCGTGTGAAATGATCAAGGTTGAGAGCTGGGAGTGGCGAGGCAAAATCGCCTGATGTTTGCTGTCTTGAGCTAGTGCTGATTGGTTGAGGCGGCCGCCAACTCGGATGATCCCTTGAGCGTCTATATACGCAGTCAATCGGCTGAATGCGTGAGCAGTTGGTAGTCTCGAGTTGGCCGTGAGCATCTTGATCTCGTGCGTGAAGTATGCCGCTTGAGTAGCCTTAATCCAGAAAAATCTGGCCTCCTCCAAAGCTGAGTGTAAGTCCAGAGTTTTGCGTCGGCGCTTTCCCAGAAGCGATATGAATCTGAAACAAAGAGCTGTTATTTTCAATAACTTGTTGAGTGTTGAGTACCTATATATCAGGTCCCAGTGATAGTCCGGTTGAGATGCGGCCGCATGTAGCGCAATGCCAGGACGAGCCTCATGAGCGCTCAACTCGTCCGACAGCGCGGGTTGTGATGGCCAAGCTTCAGGGGTGAGTATCCACGGTGGTCCCGTCCACCATAATGAGTGGCTTTGGAGTTGAGCAGTACTCAATCCTCGTGAGGCGCAGTCGGCTGGGTTGGACGTACCTGGTACGTATTTCCAATGTGCGTTCGCAGTGAGCTCTTGAATTTGAGAGACCCGATTTCTCACAAAATCCTTCCAGCGCGATGCATGAGATTTGATCCACGTGAGTGTCACAACAGAGTCCGTCCACAGGTGAGTTGCTGTGACGTTCAACTTTAATGTGGCTTGAACGTATTGCATGAGTCTTGAGAGCAGCAGCGCTGCGGTGAGTTCAAGTCTCGGGATGGTGAGCCGCTTGAGCGGTGCTACCTTTGTTTTGGAGCACACCAATGAAATCGTGGTACCATTTGAGCCGTGGACGGTGATAAATACGACTGCAGCCATTGCCAGTTGAGAAGCATCAGAAAAGCCGTGAAATTCCACTGTCGATGAACTCCATGTGTTATACCACCGAGGTATTGAGATCTTGCGCAAGCTGGTGAGTTCTTTTCTGATGATGAGCCACCGTGATGAGAGCTGGGATGGCAGTGGTTCATCCCATTGGAGCTTGTGAAGCCAAAGCTCCTGCAAGAGCATCTTCGCCTTGATCACGACTGGTGATGCAAAGCCTAGTGGATCGAAAATCTGAGCCACTTCAGACAAAACGAGGCGTTTGGTGAGATGATCGGTATGCGACGAGATCCTTGTTGCGAATGCGAATGAATCTTCTTGAGGAAGCCATCGTAATCCGAGTATCTTGGTTGCGCAATCGTCGAATGTAATTTGTGAGCCCTGGTCTTTCTCTGCTTGAACAGCAGTGAGCACGTCTGGATGAGTCGCGTGCCACTT